AAGAAAAAAGAAACAGAAAAGGTTTCCTGAAATCTGGAAAATCAAAACATAAAAAAAAAAAAAAACCTATAATGTTTCCAATAAAAAGTCATAAAAATTACAGTCATCCTCATCAGTTTTTCCATTAGAGTTCTGTAAATTCTTACTCAGTTCAGTAGTATGACTTTAGTTATCAGAAACCTGTAGTTGTCCGTCTTTTCCATGAATCTCCTTGTCTGCATGAACACCTTCGCAAAGGCATCAGAGTAAAAACAATAACATTCTGTAAAGGAGAAAAGACTTAAAAAGATATGATAAGGTTCATTACAATGTAATCAACATGGAAATTTGGTTATTTATGTGACACACGTGTCCTCGTGATGACCTCCTCCAATACTAAGCAGAGGGCGTTCCTGCACAGCACAGGAGATTGACCATGGGAGTCAGCTGGTGACATGGGCATGGGCTCCCTGAGTTATATTACATGTTATACCATCCTGAAGCAGCCAGCCTCAGAGAATGCTGGAACAGCCCTCTAAAGGCACACCTGAATCAGCAACTCAGAGGCAATATCGTGAATGCGGTGCCATCCCCAGGATGCAGTATATTCCTACATGAAAGACTTCTATACTTCTATGTGGGGCTCAGTCCCCAGCAAAGAGAACACAACCTTTGCGTGTGGAGAGGGAACGGGAGCAGCCCTGCTTACCATCGCTCCCAGTGACCCAGGCACAATGGGGAATTTTGTGCCTCCCATCCTTGCAACTCTGAGCTCCTCAGTGCTAAAAATTCTGGTCTCTACAGGGTATACAGACTCTTACCAGGAGACACAGAAAGTGTCTCATTGAACAACAAAGTGTACTTACCACTAGGACACTTTGGACTCCCTGTGCCCAGGGTCCGGAAAGTCAACACGCTGGCTGTGGTATTTGATCCTAATCAGCTGAAGAAGGTGGTGCTGCTTTACGATGAAGACAGGGAGAATATGTGTCGAATCTAGGAGGTGTACTTGGGCACCTTCCCGTGTTTCCTTGCCTCCTGATTCCAGTGTTCTAGACACAAACAGCAAATGCTGTCTGAAAAAAAGGTGTGGTATGATTGCCAAGGCCCCAGGCTGTCAGGAGTGAAAGTTTGAGTCACAGCACCAGGGGAGCCAGCAAGGCTTGCCAAGATAACAGCTGAGTGTGTATGTGTGGGGGGGGCGGGGGATTTGGAATGAATAATGGATTAGAGAGAGGATGAGGACCTGAAACCTACCACAGCACTAGGAGCTACTGTTTGTCCCACTAACCTTCCTCTTCAAAGGTTTCCCTCAGAAAGAGAGGCCACAGGAACCATGGAGGAGCCTCCCCCTGAACTTGAAGAAGTTGATCTCTTTGGCGTAAGAAGTAGAGTTTGCTGACCATTAAAAATACAGCTCAAGGGCCTCTGGTTGGCTCAGCTGGTGAGGTGTCGGACTCTTGATTTGGGCTCAGGTCATGATCTTGCAGTTCATGGGATCGAGCCCCTCGCCAGGCTCTGCTGACAGCACAGAATGTGCTTAAGATTCTCTCTCTCTCTCTTTCTCTGCCCCTCCCCTGCTCATGCACACACTCTCTCTCAAAAATAAACTAATAAACATTTTTTAAAGGATACAGCTCAGATCTCCTGCTGTGCCCAGGCAGCTCCCAGCCACTCACCAAGCATGGTATAGGTACTAATGAAGGCCTGTTCTGAGAATTGTGGAACTCCTTTAACAAGAGATTTTAATCAGCAACTCTTCATTAGCCTGGCCAAAGCTTTCTTAGAATGATACTTCAGTCTGAGACCCTTCTACCAATCCCCTCTTTCATTCCTTATGGAGGGAACTCTTGGCTGAGTCGCAGGATACTCTCTGCTTTCTCCAGCTTTCTTTCTCTGTCCTTCACGGGCCTTTCCCCCAATGAATTTCTTGAACAGAAAATCCTGTCTCAGTGTCTGTTTCTCAGGGGACCTGAATTAACATAAAAGCTAACTGTTATTATTTTTATTATCTTAAGTTCCTCTACCTTTTTCTTTAACTGTAAAAACTCTGGTGGGATAGAGGGGAGAGGATAATTGGGTCTAAAATTAGTTATATACACTTGGCACTAGACCATAGGAAGTAATTCTCAAATTTCTAGACATTTGTAGTATTCTCAGTAATAGGAGTATATATATAGATATATACATACATACACACACACATATACATACATATATATATATATGCTATCTGTATATATATCCTTTGTTAAATCCTTATACATTTGTGATTTTCAGAGGAAGGATTCTTTGCTTTAAAAGCTCTCACAGTTCCAGTATATTTTTAAAAACACATCTTTTGGGGCGCCTGGGTGGCGCAGTCGGTTAAGCGTCCGACTTCAGCCAGGTCACGATCTCGCGGTCCGGGAGTTCGAGCCCCGCATCAGGCTCTGGGCTGATGGCTCAGAGCCTGGAGCCTGTTTCCGATTCTGTGTCTCCCTCTCTCTCTGCTCCTCCCCCGTTCATGCTCTGTCTCTCTCTGTCCCAAAAATAAATAAATGTTGGAAAAAAAAAAAAACACATATTTTGTTCAAAAGGCAATACATATTCATTTAAAAATAATAGTGAGATAAAGTAAAATGTTATAACAAGTTAAGTGGGGATTAGGGACAGGAAAAGTGAAGGGTATCTATATTGACTGAAGAATTTTGAAAAGTCAGCAATAGATGGAATGAATTATTGATATACTCAATAACATTGAAAAAGCTCAGAAACACTGAGTGAAAGAAGCCAGATACTAAAAGTATACTCTGTATGATTCCATATATATAAAATTCTAGAAAAGGCAGACCTTCTCTATAGTAACAGAAAGCTCTTCAGTGATTGTCTGGAGCTGGGGTGGGGGGGGTGGCTGGGTGGGGAGTTGACTGCCAAGGGGAATGAGAATTTTTGTGGTCATGGAAATGTTCCGTATTTCGATTGTGGCAGTTACATGAGTTGTGTGTACATCTTTGTCAAAGCTTATTTAACTGTACACTTAAACTAGGTGCATTTTATTATATATAAATTATGCCTTAGTTGATTTAAGAAAACAAAACACGATATTCAACTTTGGCATAATCTTGGAATAAGATTCCTCATCCAGGCCACCATCTTTTCTTACCTGGGTTTTGTAATACCCTTCTGACTGGATTTTCTTTTAGGAATCAAGCTTCCCTCCAATCTGTTCTTCACTCTAAAGCCCGAGTGATGTTTCCAAAAGAGTGATTAAGTTACTCCCAGTAACTCCCATTTTTCTTCACATATATCAGTCGGGGCTCAGAGAAAGAGAACCACTAAAATAGATGTAGGTATGCAGACATAGATACTTGTTATAGAATTTTGACCTTACACAATTATGAGAACTGGATGTTCACCTGTTAATCTTCTGTTGCTGGAATCTGAAGTCCACAGGGCAGCCAGTTGGAAAGGGAAAATGGATGTAACCCCTCAATAACAAGCTAGAACTCACAACCACAAGAATGAACTGAAGCCTCTTAGACCTTGCTGCCTGTGACCTTGGTGGTATGGGGCAAAGCTGCGGCCCTTCATTACCATGGAGTTAGACACACACCTGGCCGAGAAGTCAAGGAAGCTGAAGGAAGAGCCGACAGAAGGGGAAGCAGTTGCAAGGCTCAGCCACTGCCTTCTCATCAAGGTGAGCCAGCAAAGCCACAACATGTATCTGCTATAAAAAGGAGGCTGCTTCACTTCCCCACTCCAAATCTCCCACAAGAAATGTCTTATGGCCAGCACTGACCAAAAACATACAGTAGAGAGAATTCTAGGAAATGTATGTAGTTCAGCTTGACCCCTTACAAAACCATCAGACCCTTACCTTGAATGACTTCCCATTACTTTTATATCCTTAACAAAACTTGTAAGGTTCTTTGTGACCTGTCTTCCACCAGACTTTCTGGCTTTATCTCCTACTCCCCCCACCCCCTATCTGAGGCCATTATGTATTTGTGTTCAGTACAAATGTTCGAACATTTCTAACCTTTTCACACTATCCCTCCTGGCTGAAATACTGTTCTGCCTTCCCTATCTTCCCCTTAACCTAGCTGAGACCTATTCACTGTTATGGGCTCAGCTTCTTTTAGGAAACCTTCCCTGACACATCCCTTTATCATTGGTGGCCAGTACAAAACCAGGTCCATAGTTAGAACCCAACAAATTTCAGTTGAATAAATTAATATGTGCCAATGACAAAACTGAGTATAGCTGAATGAACAGGGCTGCAGCCCTAGGCACATAAGGGATAAAGTGCTATAGCAAAGGTCTATGGGTAGGCAATATATTCAGCCTGTTAAAATGTGTGGAACACTATTCACTCCTGCAGAAATATACACATTCCATTTATCCCCTTATTCACTCTATCCCTTTGCTACATAAACCCCCATTGCAACAGATACTTCTGGTCTTAGTTTGAGTCCCCCACAAAGCAGAGCCTAACACAAGGTGGTTAGTTTGGGAGGTGATTCCTGGGAGTAGGATTAAAAATCAGGGAGGGAGGAGACGAAAGGGGGAAAAACCCAGTAAAGGGAGTTATTGAGCTGGTTAATGCCCTGAGCTGCCCCACTTCCCGAGGACCTTTGTCTCCATGAATCATTAGGTGCCACCATAAGTACAAGAAGAATAAGAAACACCAAACCAATTTTACCTCCTCCTTTCAGAGAACTCATGACTTGGGAGTTTAGGGAAATTTCACTAATTTTATCTCTGTATAGATAGTATGAAGAAAAGAGGAGGGGGGGGGACACCTGAGTGGCTTAGTTAGTTGGGCGACCGACTTCGGCTCAGAGCATGATCTCACAGTTCATGAGTTCGAGCCCTGCGTCGGGCTCTGTGCTGACAGCTCAGAGCCTGGAGCCTGCTTCGGGTTCTGTTGTCTCCCCTCTCTCTTCCCCTTCCCTGCTCACGCTCTGTGTCTCTCTGTCTCTCAATAATAAATAAAGGTTAAAAAAAAAAACAAAGGTAGAAGGGGTAAACAGCTCATCGTTGGATGACTGCTTTATTCAAAGAATATTGCTCAATGATGCAAACTCCCAGTTATATGCACATTCCTTCCCCTTATGTTATATGCGAATGGTAAGCCTGGGGTGGTACAGTGCAACAACCTTGCCTAGCACAGAGCAGCTACTCACCAAATGTTTGTGGAAGGGACAAGAGCAGGTGAAATATCAAAGAGTTGTTTGACCAAGAGTATGAGGAAAATATAGATCAGTGTTTCTCATACGGGGACTATTTTGCCACCCAGAAAACACCTGGCAAGGTCTAGAGACATTTTTGGTTGTCACAACTAGAGAAGAGGGTGCTACTGGAATCTTGTGGGTCAAGACAAGGATGCTGCAAAGCATCCGATAATATATAGGATACCTCCCCTTCCCCCAACAAAGAATTATCCTGCCCAAGATATCAGTAGTGGCAGGGGTGAAAAATCCTGACACAGATAAAGGTTATCTGGGCATTAATATATATATCTATATAGATATATAGAGATAAATATTGATACATTTCTATAGACATTTTATTTCTTCACCTAAGATAGTTTATAACATTTTTAAAAATCAATGTCTAATTACAAATGATTTGCCCCTAAAAAAGAAAAAAAAAAAAAGATTTGCCCTACATGGCAGCAATACAAAGTGTTGCGTTAGTACCACCAAAACCAAAGGAATTGGTGAGTCCAATACGTCTTTTCTCAATTTTCCATTCTTGTGCCTTTAGTGGAACATAATTGAGATCAAATTCTGGTTCTGTACAATCCAGGTTTAAAGTAGGTGGTAGTTTTTGATAATAACAAGCCAGAGCAGTAAAAGCTGCCTCAACTGCCCCTGCAGCTCCCAACAGATGTCCCGTGGCTCCCTTAGTTGAAGAAACCGCAAGGGCACGGGTATGGTCTTTGAAAAGATGTTTGATAGCTTTGTTTTCAGCAGCATCTCCCAATGGTGTGGAAGTAGCATGTGCATTGACATAGGATATCTCTTCAGGTTGTACACTTGCATCTTTTACAGCTGCAGCCATACATCTAATAAAATAGGGAAAAAAATGATCAGAACTAAGTCTAATTTTAACACACGAGTCATTATATGGCCTATGAGAAAGAAATACACATATATACAGGATAAAAAGAATCTTTTGCTCTAATAACAAAACCCCAACTTGGATTACCATACGCATTAGCATGCCACCTGCCTAGTACCCTGGACTAATTCAACACCATGAGATAAATACACAAGCCTATGGGTTTTAAAACCTCTAATAAAATATATTTCCATTTATTTGGATTGATATCTTTCCCTGGGAGAAAAACCACATTGACTCAGCCTAGAATAGTTTTTCTTCTAGCAATCTTTCTTTCTTTCTTTCTTTCTTTCTTTCTTTCTTTCTTTCTTTCTCTTTCTTTCTTTCTTTTCTTTCTTTCTTTTCTTTCTTTTTAATTTTTTAATGTTTATTCTTTAAGAGGAACAGCAAGCAGGAGCAGGAGATGGGGAGAGAGAAGGGGACAGATGAACCAGAGCAGGCTGTGCGCTGACAGCACAGAGCCCGATGCGGGGCTCATACTCGCCAACTGTGAGATCATGACCTGAGCCAAAGGCAGATGCCCAACCACCCAACTGACTGAGCCACCCTAGGAATCTTTCATCAGTGGGATGTGTGTGTGTGTGTGTGTGTGTGTGTGTGTAGTGATTCCAAATAGGGAGAAAAATTTTATAACCATGTTTTAATTTTCTTCTCATATTTAAATGTAAAACTTGGCATATTTCCCAATAATCTAAAAACGTCTGTACCAATACTTTGGTGCTTCAGATAACCTTTCAAGGGGCACCTGGGTGGCTCAGCTGGTTGAGCGTCCGACTCGATTTCAGTTCGGGTCATTGTCTCACAGGCCTGCGTCAGGCTCTAGTTGGGATTCTCTCTCTCTCACTCTCTGCCCCTACCCCGCTCACACTCTCTCTCTCAAAATAAATAAACGTTTTTAACAAATAACCTTTCAAAATTCTATTTAAGCTATAAGAATTCTAAGTAAGTGAGCAAGTATAAAGCCAAGCCAAAACAAACAAATACGAAAATAAAACTTTTCTCTCGAAGAACCTTTGAAAATCTCAGGAATGTCAACACCCTCTTTTTTAGATCCTGATCTCTGGGTTGCATATATTTCCTTAAGAGGCAGCTTAGAATGTAATTTGAACTTTCACCTAAATACAACTATTTCTGCATCTACCTGGCTACTATGTTTGACATTTCTAGCACCAGCAACTACTTACTGAAACTCAAAAGGATAATTCAGTGGGTCAGTAAACTATGGCTCTAGCCAGATACCTGCTTTTACAAATACAGTTGACCCTTAAATAATATGGGTGAGTCCACCTGCGGATTTTTTATGTAACTATCCTGTAAATGTATTTTCTGTTCTTTATGATTTTCTTAATAACATTTTCTTGTCTCTAGCTTACCATGTGAGAATATAGTACATAATATGTATATAAAATATGTGCTCATTGGCTGTTTATGTTACCAGTAAGGCTTTTTTGTAAACAGTAGGCTATTAGTTAAGTTTTGGAGGAGTCAAAAGTTATACATTAAATTTTTGACTGCATGGGGGTCAGTGACCCCTTGTTCAAGGGTAAACTCCAGTTTCACTAGATCACGCCCATTCATTTATGTATTGTCTATGGCTGCTTTCACAAGAGAAGACACAATTGAGTAATTGTGACAGAGACCCTATGGTCCACAAAGCTGAAAATACTCTTTGTCCCTTTACAGAAAAGGTTTGCCAACCCCTGGTCAATTTGACTGGTTAAAACATAATATGATCGGGGCGCCTGAGTGGGTCAGTCGGTTAAGTGTCCAACTTCAGCTCAGGTCATGATCTCACGGTTTGTGAGTTTGGGCCCCATATCGGGCTCTGTGCTGACAGCTCAGAGCCTGGAGCCTGCTTTGGATTCTGTGTCTCCCTTCCTCTCTCTCTCTCTCTCTCTCTCTCTCTCTCTCTGCCCCTTCCCTGCTGGCGCTCTGTCAAAAATAAACATAAAAAAAAAATTATGATCTAAGCAGGCTAACCTATTAGCTAACACATTAACGGATTTTTTTTAACTTAATTATCTCTTATGCAATATCAACTTGTTTTTCAAAGTGTGGTCCTCAGACCAGCAGCATCAGCATCAGCATCATGGGAGATTGTTAGAAATGCAGAATCTCAACCACCACCCTAGACCTAGAATCAGAATCTGCATTTTAATATCCCTGGATAGTTACAAGTTAGGAAGTCCTGATTTAGTAATAGTAGAACCCTGTTGAAATGGTGCAAAGACCAGACACAACTAGAAGAAAGGTTTGACTTTACTGTCTGAGTCTGATGAAGGGCCAAAGAGGAGGACTGTGGGAGGGAGCACTCTGACAGCTGTTAAGCACAATTGAAAGTATGAAAAGTTGGCAAAGACACACATGGCCTTTCTCAAAACTTTACTGGCCTTAACTAAAATCCAATTTTTATTAAGGATGGTTAAAAGCTTTCAAATATTTCAAACGTGTTGAAGCAAAGAATTCAAAACCTTTTTAAAACGGAAAAACACCAAAGATACTGTGTACCAGAGGCAGATACTACAATTTCCCCTAATTTGAGATTCCAATTAAGATGCCTTATGTGAAGAAATATTTTAAATAAAACAGCAAGTCTTTACCTTAAGGCGCCTTCTCCTTCGGGATCAGGTGCAGTTATGTGACCGGCATCACCTGAGAGGCCATAGCCCAAAACTTCTGCATAGATCCGGGCCCCTCGTTGAACAGCATGATCGTGTTCCTCCAGTACCATCACAGCTGCACCTTCTCCCATTACAAAACCATCTCTCTTGGGGTGAAACGGCCGACAGGCCAGCTTAGGATCAGAGTTTGTGCTCAGAGCACGGGCTCTGGAAAACCCAGCAAGAGATAAAGGGCTAATGCAAGAATCTGCACCTCCAGCCACCATCACATCAGCATCACCATGGGCTATAAATCTAAAAGAGTCTCCCACGGCATGAGCTCCTGTGGTACAGGCTGTAGACACTGCATGATTGGGGCCCTTGAGTTTATATCGAATGCTGACCTGCCCTGCTGCCATATTGACCAGAATCTTCGGGACAAAGAATGGGCTGACTTTACTGTAACCTTTTGTCTGAAACATCAAAGCAGTTTCAGAAACAACTTCAAGAGGAACCATTCCCATGCCAATTGCAACGCCAGTAGCCACTCGATCGGCTTCTGATTGAGGATGCCAGTCAGAATCTTTCATGGCTAACTCTGCAGCCCCAATGGCCATAATGGTGGGAGAAGACATGGACTTGATATCTGACCTGGATACAAAGTTTTGTTCGTTGAACTGACCGTCAGCACAACCTCTTGGCACTAAAGCAGCAACACTGCAAGGGATACTCTTATATTCTTCACCGACCAGTGAAACAATTCCACTCTCTCCCCGGATAAGACGATCCCATACCAGCTGCGTTCCAACACCAAGAGGAGTCACTAAACCAATGCCTGTAATGACAACCCGCCTACGAATTCTGGATGTTGGCACAGTTCCAAAAAACCTCCTTTTATTTCCTATTAATTGCTGGCATAATCTTGAATATAGATGAGGGCTTGTAATTTTTAAGAAATTTTGCAAGCAATTTGACAACATGGTTGAGATTCAGATGATCATAAACACATTCCTGTACATCACAACACGCCCAGGAGGTAACCACTGTTGTTTAAATAGCTTATAGGCCTAGGAAACAATAGCAGAAACGTTCTTTCAGGTGCTGGGTGTGAACTGTTAATGAACACAGAGAAAATAACGTTAACATCATTTTAATTTATACTTATTAAACGAACCATTTGGAGTTCCTTTTTTTGATTGTAAGTACCCTCACATTCCAAGATGAAGAGGTGAAATGATGACTCAATTCACCAAAAAAGAATTACACTAGGTAAATTACAAAGGCATTTCCAGCCCTTTAGGGGCTGCATAAAGGAAGGAGCCTTTTTCAGGATTATCGAGGCCTTATTCTAACTATTTCTGGCATCAGTGGCACACACACACACACAAAAAAACCACTTCAAGGCCTATTCTCTGAGGTACGGGTAAGTGAACTTTACTGATCTTCAAAACGTGGAGATAATTAGGGTTTTTCATCAGAAGACGGGAAGTGAGGGGCGTGGCCAACTCCTCCCTCCCCTCCCTCCCTCCCTCTCCCCCTCTCCCCCCACCCCCTGCCTCTCAAGCACCACCACACACACTAAGAAAGCATGGCTAGAGGAAGAGAAGTCAGGCGAAGATCATCAGACTCCCCTTTCCCGATCCAACCCCCACCCGATCTGCCGGTGGAGAGGCGGAAGGAGAACGCTAGCACGCCGCTGATACCTTCACCAGGCGTCGCACTGGCCGCGCAGCCGCCCTCTGCATTCGCACGTCCGCTCATGCGCGCGCCCACGCACGCGCTACGTGTGGGGGGTGGGGGCTGCCGGTTGCTCTTTCTCTGTCACCTTGACGGAGGTCAGACCCTGGGAGGTGGCGGCGCTCAGCTTGCTAGGGAGGAACCTCCCCTCCCTCGACTTCACTGACTGTAAGCTAGACAAGAACGCGCACAGAACGCGGTGAGGTAGCCCTTTTGCCCATCAAAAAAAGGACTTTTGTTTTGTCGGTAAAGATGATGTCCAGATAGTTCCATCTTGTGGAAGAAGGGACACCGCCATATTCTACTGAAATCTTTGTAAAGAATTAAGGAAACTACAGGAGCCTCAAAGTTGTTACTGTTCCTTCTAAGGTTGTTTATAATAGTAAAGTAGAACTAACCAAAATGCCCAACATCAGGAAATGGGTTATTTTGCAGTACATCTAAAAGCTATGCAGCCATTTAAGATAATTTTGTAAGTTAATACTATATAGAAAAATGTTAAAAGTATGTTAGGAGATGACAGGTTACAAGATGGCATATATCCACTTATATTTATGTGTGTGTATGTGTGTGTGTATATATATATATATATATATACACACACAAAATATTTATATTTTATGTAATGAGTCACCTGAGGGGCTCAGTCGGTTGAGGATCTGACTGTGGCTCAGGTCATGATCTCCTGATTTGTGAGTTCAAACCCAGCCTGCTTCAGGTGGTCTGTCCCCCCTCTCCCTGCTCTTGCCCTGCTTGTGCTCTCTAAAAAATGAAAACATTACCTGTTGGGATGAGCACTGGGTGTTGTATGGAAACCAATTTGACAATAAATTTCATATTATAAAGAAAAAAAACATTTTGGGGTGCCTGGGTGGTTCAGTCGGTTGAGTGAACGACTTCGGCTCAGGTCGTGATCTCACAGTTCGTGAGTTCGAGCCCCGCGTCAGGTTCTGTGCTGACAGCTCACAGCCTGGAGCCTGCTTCAGATTCTGTGTCTCCTTCCGTCTCTGCCCCATCCCCACTCATGCTCTGTCTCTGTCTTAAAAATAAATAAAACATTAAAAAAAATTTTTTTAAGAAAACATTTAAAAAATGTATATATGTGTTGTGTGTGTGTGTGTGTGTGTGTGTGTGTGCGTGTGCGTGTGTATGCATTGGGGCAGGGCTCAAAATGCCACATGGATGTCCAACGAACAGAGACAAGAAGGGGCGCCTGGCAGTGAGTTGGTGGAGCATGAGATTCTTGATCTTGGGATGGGGAGTTTGAGCCCCGTGTTGGGGTTTAGAGATTACTCTAAAAAATAAATACAAAATAAAAATATTTTTTAAAAAATTTAATGGAGACAAGAATAGAGATTGTAGACATTTATTTCTTTAAAAAAAATTTTTTTTTCAACGTTTATTTATTTTTTGGGACAGAGAGAGACAGAGCATGAATGGGGGAGGGGCAGAGAGGGAGACACAGAATCGGAAACAGGCTCCAGGCTCTGAACCATCAGCCCAGAGCCCGACGCGGGGCTCGAACTCACGGACCGTGAGATCATGACCTGGCTGAAGTCGGACGCTTAACCGACTGCGCCACCCAGGCGCCCCGTGTAGACATTTATTTCTAAGTGTCTAAAAAATATAATAACTTCATTTACTCAGAGCTAGCTGTGAATCTATGAAAATAGAACATGAAATTGTAAAAAGCAAGAAATCAGCAAGATACTTATTTAGATGACCATCTGTTGTTCACATGCTGTCCCAGGTGTGAGGTTTATGTCCTTTTTTCTTCTTTATTTTTTTGAGTTTATTTATTTATTTTGGGAGAGAGCATGCTCAAGCAGGGAAGGGGCAGAGAAAGGGAGACAGAATACCCAACTCAAAGCTCAGTCTCATGACTCTGAGATCACCACCTGAGCCAATATCAAGAGTCAGATATTGGGGCACCTGGGTGGATCAGTCCGTTAAGCATCTGACTTTGGCTCAGGTCATGATCTCACAGTTGTTGTGGGTTCGAGCCCTGTGTCAGGCTCCGTGCTCACAGCTCAGAGCCTGGAGACTGCCTCCGATTCTGTGTCTCCCTCTTTCTCTGCCACTCCCCTGCTTGTGCTCTGTCTCTCAAAAATAAATAAACATTAAAAAAAAAAAAAAAAGCCAGATGCTTAACCAATTGAGCCACCCAGGCACCTCCTTTTTTTCTTCTTTAGATAAAAGGTTGAACATACAATCTGCATTTGAACCTCCCAGCCATATTTGTTTCTTTCTGGACAGTGTCTCTCGAATGATTGTTTTTGAATGCTCTGCCTTCTTTCCCAGCTCTAGAGAAGAATTTTGGTCAAGTACTGGATTTAAATGAGCTTGGAAATGTACTTTGCCTAAAATAGTTTAGGAAAGCCCAATGTGACCTTGAGTCATCCTTGATCCTAGGCCTATTCAGTTACTTCTTAGCATGACCTTCATTCATTAATTATAGAGTTAATTTCAGAGGGATTAAACAAACACATGTGGTTATAAAATAACTAAAACTTGGTTAGTAGAAATATGCAAACTTGCTGTCCCTTTCCATTGCTTTATGATATGTTTAAATTACAGTGGGAAAAGACCTACAATATATTCTTTGAAGCCAAACTCCTATGAAACAGTTTTAATGTGCTGCTTGGTTTTTCTTTTGTAATATCACAAGATTATCTTGGATCTAGACAAATCAATTAAAATACTGTAGAAAAGTAAAACCACCAAAAAGTCATTTCATTTTTATTTCTACCTGTGATCTCCTTTCCTTTGGTTTGGAAAGAGGTAGGAATTCTTATGATATTCCAATAGCTGTACTAGGGTCTAGTACCATATTCCTTGCTGGTGATGCTGCTGCTGCCGATCTAACCACTGCTGTGAACTCATTAGGACTTCTATGAAAGCAGGGCTCATGCTCATCTGATTCACTGCTTCACAGCCCCTAGCACAGTGCCTGGGATTCAGTAGCCATTTCATAAATATTTGGTGACTGACTGAATTATGAAATAAACCAATAAGCACATACCCTTCTATCGGTTAGTATACACACACTATTTTGTGTTTTTTACCAAATGACTTCTTTTTCTTTTCATAGTAACTTTTGTCTCATCAGCTCGGGGGCTGTCTGTATGCAAGATATTATCATTAGTTTTGTCTTTCCTACTAGAATAAAAGTCTCTTATGTCCTCCATCTCAGACTGCTTTGTACACAACAGGTGCTCACTAAATAGTTGTTGGGTAATCACTTAATGCAATCATACCATAATAAGTCACTACACCAATTCCTGAAAGGCTTCAACCCCTCTCTGTGCTATAGTCTTTATTGAGGTCAATGTTTTCTTTTTTATGGCAAAACTGATCCTGGGGAAATTTAATGGGTTATTTCTTTGTTCTATTCTATTTAAGAATAGTGCCACCATGTGTCAACTTTAACAATGGTGTACTTAAAGCAGGAATACTGAAAAAAATTATTTGGAGAAAAAAAAACAAAAGCCAAGTAAAAGAATAGAAAGTTCAATGCTGATTTAATATTGGAACACCCATTAGTTGTGTGAAGCAATGGTGAGCATAAAGAAATTAAGAGTAGCTTACTATCTTCAACTTTTCTAAAGGAACTGAAAAATCAAAATATTTTCAACTTGACTTAGTGGAAGAAGCAGACAGGGAAAAGAATGAGTCAAAGTCCTTTATAATAAATTCTCTTTTTTTTTAATAATAAATTCTCTTAACAGTTGCATAAATGGTGGTAACCAAGAGAGATTGTAGTTACTCAAGAACTTCAGCAGAAACATTGGTAAACAGTAATTTGGAAGGATTTAAATTTCAGGTGATCTAAGATAAACAATAACTTACTGAATTACCCTTGAAATGATGATTTCCATGATTTTCTAGACCCTGCATTATTATCACAGTATTAACTTTATGGCATTGGTTTTCACACTGTGTTTGCGTGTTCCCCACAAAGATGCCTGATGGACATTATCTCCGTCAAAGGGCAGGCTCAGTTGATGGCATTCTATCCTTCCTGCCACCCACACTCTCCTGCTTCAATTCTAGAGCATCTCCACTTTGGTGTTTTATATATACTGGTTTCCCTCCCAAGAATTTATTTGAAAACAAAAAGTGTTCTATTTCTTTAAAAGTAAAATAAAGTACTACATAGTATGTAATAATCTTATGCTATTATAAGGATAAATAAATGTGAAAAAAAAAACCCACCTCAAATTAAGGTGACTATAGTTTGTGGTAGAGACAGCTAGTTATAACTCCAGGCCCCCCTCCCTGCACCTTTTATCCTTTAGAGTTGTGGGTACATGTCCAGCTAGGAACTAAATTTCCCAGCCTTCCCTCTTTTATCTAGATGGGGCTTCCTTTTCTCAATTATATGGTAGAGAAAATGCTATACCAGTAAAACCTTAGATGGTGAGTAACTTGTTCTGCGAGTGTTCCACAAGATGAGGAAACATCTCTAACAAATTTTTACTTTATAAACGAGCGATGTCTTACAAGTATGCAATAGGAGTACTACGTAACACTGAAAGTCACATGATTAGAACTGAGCCAATCGTTCTGTCTCTCTCTGTGGGATTGTGGGTGATCGTCTCCCACACTCAGTCTCAAACCATGATGACCACCGATCAACTGATGGATCTGTATTGCAAGCAACAGCAAGAGGTTATGGAGGTGATCTTATCTGCAGAGGAGGAGGAGAAAAAGGCAGAGGAATCCCTTACTTCAAATGAGATTAGGGAGATGTGTAAAATGTAGGAAACTGCAAAATTCTGTAGGAAAGCACCACCCAAATAAGGCTGTAGCAGTGTGAGCGATGAATCTGTTTAATGACAATGCAATGTCACATTTCCGTGAAATCCTCATAAGGAGGCAAAAGCAAGTATCATTGGAAAGATTTCTTGTTAAAGTTGCATGAAAAGAAAAAGATTCCGTTGAGCCAATAGATAGCATGATTTCATTAGTGACAGTGAAAGTTGTCCTACACAATAACCCTCCCATCTCTTGTCTCCCTCACCATGAAGCCATGAAGGTTTTCAAAGGTAAGTGCAGATTAATTTGTTTATTTTTCTTTATATTTTCTATTGTCTTTATTATTTTATATTACATTACAGACTATTTTTGGGTTGTGGAACAAATCATCTGAATTTCCATTATTTCATATGGGGAAATTTGCTTTGATATACAAGTGCTTTGGATTCCAAGCATGTTTCTGGAAAAAATTATGCTTGCAAACCAAGGTTTTAGTATCCTTTGGGGCCCATGTGGTTAAGAAGCAGGTATGTCTTCTTTTTTGCCCAAACACCAACTAAATACAGAAGTCTCTGAGGCTCTATGGCAGGAATAGCAAACTACAGGCCCAATCCAGCAAGCTGTTTTTGTAAACAGAGTTTCATGGGAACACAGGCATACCCATTTATTTTAGAGTATTGTCTATAGAACTACAAGTACAAAGACAGAAGTAAAGAGTTGAAACAGGGACCCTAAGAGACCCTAAAGCCACAGAGCCTTAAGCATTTATAGTCTGGCCCTTTACAAAAAATGTT